TTATTATTTTTTATTTCTTTTTGGAGCGATTGTCGTGTGAAACAAAAATCACGTGCTCACACAAAGGAAAGATAAGATGTCAATAAATGGCAACTTAGTGCACAAAACATCCAGTATTCACGCAAGATCGAGGGAAAGGCGGCACCCCTAAAGGTGTGATATAAACAATCTATCCTAATGCAAGTATTAATAGTTACTTCTACGGATCGAATTCGTGACAGATGGGCCACACGGAGTCAACTTTGTCACACAGAGTCAACTTTGTCAGTATGTATAACATAAGTCATTTCTGCCGCTTCTGCTTTTGTCACAAACAAGCCCTCTTTGTTCTTCTTTTTTTTTTTAAATGGAGGAAAATCAATGGTGAAACAGAGAGGGGCCACCACCCTTTCAAAGGAAATAAGCTTTAATTTTCTGTAAGTTAAACCACTCTCTGTTTTTGCTTTCTTTAATTCTTCTGGGCTAACCTTTTCCCTTTTGGGGAAAAGAAAAGGGAGCGTCATTTTCATAATTGCAGACTTTGAGGTCCCAAAAAATAAGGGTTAGTTTCGTAAGACTTAAGATCTAATAAGCTGATTTAAGAAGCATGGTCTAACATAATATAACAAAATAAGCTAATTTTAGAAGTACGACCAAACAGGCAAATACACGGGCCTGTTCGTGAGGGCTCAGATTTGCTGCATTTTTAGTCAAAGCAAAAGAGAAGACGACGCCGCCATGGCTGCAGACACCAGTTTGCTATAGGAAAGCCGTACCGGGTCGCCCCGCCAAGATACGGGTCGGATAATTCTCAATGGCATGAATTGAACATAACCCAGAAAGGAAAAGCAATCATCACAGCCCCTTTATAAACATCGGCATTCAGTAGTAGCAGCACAAAGAGAGGAGGAGGAGGAGGAGGAAGAGGAAGAGGAAGAGCAATATATTTGGGGCCTGTTTGGATGATTTTTTTATTTTTTTTTTGTTTTTTTGTTTAATTCAAGGGCTGTTGATTGCAAATGGATAAAATCACAGGCATAACAGAGAGGGGCAACCACCCTTTTACAGAAAATCCCAATCTCTCCGTCGCCTCATTCTTTTTCTTTTCTAAGGCTATGCTCAAAGCTGTTTTTTGGTGGAAGCGTCTGCATAAATAAACTTTTGGGGTGGTGAAATCTAAGGGCATATTGGTCAATGGTTATATAGTTTTTAGGAATACTATATTAAAAAAAAAATTAGGAATACTATAGTAAGAAAGATATTTGACAAACAAAATTTCGTATTTGTATGAAGTAATATTGATATGTTAAAATTAAAATTTTCAAGCAAAGATGAAAGAATAGAGGTTAAAGGGAAAAACTGTGTTCCAACTTCCAAGTCTATCAAAATGACTTGGTGTGCGGCTAGTGGTCAATGGTTGGATATGAAATTGCAAATTCAATTATAACGGAGGCAACAATACTTAAGTGATTTACTCATTATTCAAATTTTGACGAACAGAATTATTCGAAGTGTGTGCAAACTAATCCTACCTCCATGATTATCAAAAAAAATCTATTAAAATGACTGATCAAGTTCTAATTTACGCATGACAAGTTAAAAGTCTTAGAATAATAAAAGCCTAAGGACAATGGGACGAGAAGTTCTAAATAGCCCAAAAATTACCAACCATGGCTTTCCACATACGATAAAAAAGTTAAAAATCTGTGAATAATTAAAGTTACAATTCCGAAAGTGCATTTTGAAAAGAGAAAGGTGTATGGGTAATTGTAGTCTTTTTTTTCTTTTGAAACAAAAAGTTCATAAAAGTTGAGGCCTTGAATTCTTATCAGTGAAATTACGAAGAAGAAGGTGCTTTTTTTTTAAGTTTTCCGCCCGGTTTACGATACTCATATTGGAACTCGATTATATCCGGATTCACACCGCATAGGACCCCATTCCGGGGGAAGCGCTCCCTGCCAAAAAAAATTTCATACCCAAGGCTCCATCCCGAAACCTCTGATTAAAAAAAAAGAGCAGTCTCATCCACTGCGCAACATCCTTTTGTGGTAAACATTGTGCTTTGTCAGTGAGTAATATTATTGAACTAAGCTTTTGATGAGAGATAATCTTTATTTTTAAATCAAGAGAACAGATCCATTATTACCGGCCCAAAAAAATATAACCCTCTAGATGTTTTGCGGGTAAAAATTGCACAGGGATCCTATTTGGTCGCCCCCATTTAACATATACCCATATTTTTAAAATTATTTAACCCGTACTCTAATTTTTACAACTTCAGGCGCCTCCTTACATGTGCGCTCCTTTCTTCCTCCTTTCACTGTTTGTTTGCTGTGAGACTACCATGTTTTTGTCTATAATCTGTGAGACTACAGCAGGAAAACACCTCGGAAGCAGCCTCGTGACATTCAAGAATATAGCAGATAACTTGTTGTTTTTCATCTTTTGAATAAGACCAGGTAACTGATATAAGTATAACTGTTCTTGTGTTAAAGTAAAACGAATGAGTGGAAATGTACTCAAATGAACACGTAAAGCACATACCAGATAAGAATCAAAGGAGATGATCCTCTAGCCCAATATGGAGGGCGTACTGTAATTGTTAACGCATATTTGCCATACCTTCATGCTGCGTTCTTTGAATTAAGGTTAATCCTTTGCTATCATGCTTTGTATCCAACCAGAAAGATCAGAAGGATTTTTATGAATTGTATAAGTAGAAAGATGAGAAATTCCATCTTCAATACAAAACAAACTTCAGCCTTGAAGTTCATCACAAACATAACAAAGCCTAAGCTAAAGTATGCTGAAGTTCAGCAAATATAGAACAAAACTTGACTAAAACATGCTGAAGTTCGGCAAATAGAGATCAAAACTTCAGCTAGTAGAATGCTTAAGTTCAGCGATTACAAACAAAAACTCCAGCTAACACTAAGTTTATGCGAAAAACTTCAGCTAAAACATGCTGAAGTTCAGCAAATAGAGAACAAAACTTCAGCTAGTAGAATGCTTAAGTTCAGCGATTACAAACAAAAACTCCAGCTAACACTAAGTTTATGCGAAAAACTTCAGCTAAAACATGCTGAAGTTCAGCAAATAGAGAACAAAACTTCAGCTAGTAGAATGCTTAAGTTCAGCGATTACAAACAAAAACTCCAGCTAACACTAAGTTTATGCGAAAAACTTCAGCTAAAACATGCTGAAGTTCAGCAAATAGAGAACAAAACTTCAGCTAGTAGAATGCTTAAGTTAAACAATTACAAACAACTTCAGGCCCGTCTGCTAGAATGCTGAAGTTTGCGTGATTGCGTTTGCTACTTCAGGCCCGTATGCCTGAAGTTTACGCGAAAAGTGGGTACGCTTGTAATTTTTTTTGCAAAGCGGGTATAAGTTAAAACGTGACCCAAAAAGCGAGTATAAATGCAAATTCCCCGTTTTGCGTGTAGAAGAAGTATTTCGAAAAAATGTTCAAATAGCACGGCTAGCCAGTTTTTGGACTGGTAATTGAAAAATAATCGGCGTTTACAAAGTTATTAAAAAATAACCATTATTTTGCTGCAACACGGAAAGTTCCAACATAATACATTGAAGATTCGAGCACATGTGCATGAACTTCCAACATATTATGTTGGAACTAAAACACACGGAAAGCTCCAGCATAATATACTGGCGATTGGAACATCTATGTATGAACTTCCAACATATTATGTTAGAACTCCAACATATTATGAAATTCCAGCATGTTATGTTGAAAGTTCACATGTGAAAAATTTGTACTCCAACATATTATGCTAGAATATTTTCCGGATTTTGAATAGTGATTTTGTTCAAATTTATCTTTACATAAAAAGTGACTAAATTTCATTTACTTTTAAAGTTGTGGCTATTTTTCAATTATCACATATAAAATCTCGCTATTTTTGAATTTAATCCCGAAAAAATTGGTTCTCTACCCTTGCTCAAAGCTGTCTTAACTAAAAAACACGTAAATTTGAAGAGAGACTTTTCAGCATTGGATAAAAGAAATAAAACACTTTAATATGGATGAAGATCAAAATAAATCATATTTCAAATGTCAAAATGTTATCAAATGTGAAGTCATAATCTGAAATTTAATCAATTGGTCCAATAAGTCCTTGAAATACATACTGATTTCTGTGGAGATAGAGTCGCCTGCTGGAAATGTATAGCAATTGATATACCAACCCTACTGGTGTAGAAGCTATCAAAGAATTACTAATTGCGTTCTGACAAATACAACAAACAGATCAATTCAGCAGTCGATCTTTGACTGAATATTCAATTGCCACTGGCAATGAAATCTTTCTAAAATGTACACTCAATAGGCATCTCTATTCAATTTTGGTTCATGCCTATTCAAGTACACTGTAAAATGTTAATTTGATTCATGTAAATTCAGATACAACCAGAAGTAACAAAGAAATTTTACACAGTGGAAGAGTAAACAGCAGAAACCAAAACTAAACATGAACAAACAAACAATGGGAAAATGGCATAAAACATTAAAATTTCTTTATGATTAACAGCAGAAACGAGCCAACTAACATCGAAGTGCAAGGTGTAAGAACGTATCTGCAGAGATATATATAGCCGTAAGCCAAACGAAACCCAATCACTTAAAATTATGGAACGAGAAAAAAAAAATAACTTAGACACACTAAACAATTTCAACACATATCACTGGGTGCAATCGCCAGTAAACAAATAAGATTTAGCTTCGCTCTTCTCACTAAGAACTTTCTCAGAATATACAACTACAACTTAGTCCTAAACAAGTTAGCATGGAGAAACTGAAAACAAGAAAAGAAAGATGATCACAGCCTTCCCTGGGGTTTTAGTGGATTGAAGATTAGAAATTATCACAGCTTACAGCTAAAAGAGGGCTTGTTGGTTCTTCTGCTCAGAAAAGGAAATAAACATAGCAGAAAGAGGCAAGCAATCTTGTCAAAATCTCATTTCTTCTCCAAGCTGTGTTGAAGCTTACTTGAAACCCATGGAAAGACACCACAAATAGCATCTCGTTGAATAATCAGAAACTTAAGTTTGAACCACCTGGAGCACGAGAATTTAATCTAGTAGAAGACTTGCAACAAATCCCAAATATAAGAGCACAAGAAAAATCCGGTACTGTAACCTCCATTTGCTTTTTCCCTGATAAAATTGGTTGTTGTAAATGCCTGAACACTGCTTAAAGCAACTTTCAATACCAGTAACCGCAAATGCCAAACTTTACTAGAAATCAAGGAAAATGCTCGTCAAGATATCACAAGTCAGTAGAAGAAGGATGGCTTCAATTTAGAGAATTGCGGGATGGGTTTATGAGGAGTGAAACCTTCACGAAGAGCCCTGCATAAACACAACAAATACATCAATAATAGTGGACCTACCAGTGAACAGTTAAATCAATCCACAATGGGGGGATTAAAACTAAAATTGTCATTGGATGGGCTATTGACTTTGTTTGCTCTGCAGAGAAGCAACAACCATGTGACAATAAGACCTCTGATGACTCGTTACTCCTGCTCTGATTCAACAAACAGTTGTGAACTAGAGACTAAGTTGACTATATCTGTTCATGCAGGTCATCAAATCCATAACCACACCCCCTCTACCCCAACAAGGCAAAATTGTTATCTACTAGATTGAATGCTACGCATGATATTGGACAAAATATATAAACATGGCCTCAAGGGTGCAAAGCATCCAAAACATAAATATGCACAGAAGGGCGTGTCATAGCGGTCAAATGAAGCTGGGAAAAGCATGAGAAATCAGGATTCAAATCGCAACAAAGACAAGTAACTAGGTGGTTTCTTCTTATCTATTCTAAGCATTGATGGGCAGCATTACACGCATGGTGGGAGATAACAAGTACCCGCCAAATTAGTCAAGGTGTGCGTAAGTTGGTCCGTGGGCCACCAAAAACCAAAAAAAAAAACATGGCTTCCACATGCTTTTAGCGGCTTGAGATTAAGGTTCCTCAAAGTATTCATCACGTGCATTAACATGATTTCAGACTCATTTCTTTCCAACGAATGGTGGGGTTGATGCACTGGACCTGACATGTCACTTGAAGAGTAACATGAAGCTCAGAAGTCAAAATTGGGGTGTAGTCAATACTCCAAATAGAAAGGGAATTGATTTATGGTCGATTTCCTAACGAATTGGAGGGGTCAAATCCCTTTCTTAGGCTCCCTATTGGTACATCCATTTCCTTCAAAAAGAGATATTTAAGAGAAAACACAGCAAAGCTTCTCAAATGAAGAGAGTCATTCAAGTAAACCTCGTTTTATCCATCGGATATGACCTAGCTGCACGTCATAAGAAATTCCGAAGACAAGTTCTTCTGTTGTCCCTGACTTGTGGAACAAGCAGGGGCAATTGGGCATGGCTAAGCAATACCATATTGATCAGTATACTACAGTCTTATCTTTTGTCCTCATGATCTCTTTCATAAAGCATAAAAGCTGAACATACAGACACCCAGAGCAAATGATTTCAAGTGGGTAATGCTTAGATCCCCCATTTGATCAGGCAAAGGAAGACAGACAGTGCGATCGCTGCAAATACGTTATCATACAGATTGGCCAGCCAAGCAACTTGTACTGTTAAATCGTAGACCTGATTAAAAGAAATACTACAGCCTGTGGATGGATCTCAATTTAACAAAATAGAAAAGCAGGTAAAACGATAGTTCTAACAAGTACTATATAATTTTTCTGTCCCAAGTTATAATCAACGGGAGCAGGCATGTAGAAACATACAAAAGGGTGTTCTATCACCTTAGAAGCTTCTCATCCCTCTGCAGCCTCATAAGTCATATCTATATAGAATATCTATCACAATTAAGGGGAATAACATTGCCCGGACAATAAGAAAGAAATTCAAAGTTGTTTAAATGATACGTTCATCACTTCTGTGGCACCGCAGAGAACTTCCAATTTCAATAACGTGTTGGTCAACTCCAAGCCAGTTTAGTCCTTCTCAGATGAGCCATACTATGAACCATACTTTTTCAAGTGTACAAACGCATTTGTTTTCAAGTGTACAAACGCATTTGCAGCTTAACGTAAACAGGATCTGTTTCATACAATGCTTCAAATGCTCCATTTACCACTGTATCCTAGAGCCAAGAAGGTTAACATCATCTAAAATAAGAAGGCGGCTCAGATGTGTATAATGATAGGGCAATGAGCAGACTGCCATGGCTGCAACCCAAGCCGCATCTGGGCCTTAAGGCACCTTCAAAATCGGGTTGCCCCGCCAAAAGGCGAGCCTCTTCAACTCAATCCTCAATTCCTTGTGTACAGGAATTATCACCACAGCCTTTTCAGTTCTGTATTATGTCCTCGTTTTGCCGTTGTAGTCCAATCAGCTAGGATATCTGGCTCTCACTCAAGAGACCCGAGTTTTATTCCAGAAGTTGAAAGAAATTTTCCCACCAAGTTCGGGATTGAAGCATTATCAGTTGTTATCACGGTTTCGATGTGTTGAAAACACAGTTAGCAGAGGAACAACTTCAACAACAGGCATTTAAGGATGCAAAATGCTTTTTCTTCTAATATGTAACCTGAAGGCCGAAGGCTCAATCACACCCCTTGAACCAAGAAAAAGGTTCTTTTTCTGAAGTATATTGAGGCTCAGATCCATACTAGAAGAAGGCAAAAGGGAAGGCCACCACGCAATGGCAGCAGAACACCAGTTGCATGCAAATAGAGCTCAATCAGAGGCCATACCGGGTTGCCATGCCGAGATACTGGTCAGGTCATCTCCATGCACGAATCAGTTAGCACAGATATACAAAACATCATCATCACTGCATCTGTTTCCACCAACAACACAAAAAACAGGACAGATGTTATATAACTTAAAAATCCTTTTTCGTTTTCCAGTTTTTACTGCTTCTGTTTTCTCCATAAAAAAGGCTGTTGGTTTTTTTGATAACGTAGGAAAATCAATGGAAAAAGGGAAGCCCACCATGCCATGGCTGCAAAACACTGGTTGCATGCAAGAGCGATCTCAATCACAATCCAGACCGTGTTGCCAAGCCAAATACGGATTAGGTCATTCCTGATTAGTAATAAAAAGAAAGTGCAATAAGTATTATCACATCCCTTTTACATGAACTCTAGCAAATACTGTTTAAATTAGCCACAAGTGCATACAAGGAAGAATCTCAACACCAAGGCAGAAAAGCACAACAACATAGCAGTTATGCACTAAGGAGCACCAATGGTGTAAACATATAAAGTTACGGACAGCAGCTACTGCATGATTCAAAATGGATCTTCATAAATTCGAGGTATTATCGTAGGAAGCAAACATGAAGACACGTTAACTTATAAAATCACAAGGAACATTGATATTGGAGATGAGACTCGCTTTCTGATATGGGAGCAAAGACAAAATTATAGCCCAAATTTGGTTTTTGAACAATTCCCTTTTTAATTTGGATTCACAGAATTAAAAAAATTGCAAAACTCATCTGCTGTATGTCGAAAGAGAGATTTGAAATTTGGTCCTCATTGAAAGATGGGGAGGAAAAAATCGTACATAAAAATCTCATTTCCCTATTTTGCTCATTCTTTGATTCGAAATTGGAAGATTGAGCAAAAAATTGATGCAAAATGTGTGGAATGCAGGTCTCAGAAAATTATGAGGATTTTTGAATTTTGAAATTGTTGAAAACAGAAACACACTGGAGGACAACATCATCAACAGGAAAAAATACAACACACGCACAATGTGAATTGAGAGAAAAATGTGAAGATGGCTATTGGCAACCAAAAGAGAAATCATGGGCTTGCCGGAGAAGGCGATTTCCAAACAAAACAAAAGAGAATGCGATGACGCTATGGCTGCAGACACCAGTTTGCTACATAAAGCCATACTGGGTCACCCTGCCAAGATGCAGGTTTGAGTAACTTCACAATAACGTGATTGAACATAGCCCAGAAAGGAAAGCAAGATTTTCACAAATAGGACGACTTCAGGCTACGTTTTAAGGGCTCGGATGTACAACAACAACAACTACAGCTATGCCTCTGTCCCATACAAGTTGGGGTCAGCTATATGAATCGTCACTAACCATGTTCCTCCATTTAAGCTCAACCATGTCATTATCATACCAAATAAAGAAAAAGGCTCAGATGCGTGTTAAGATAGAGCTAAAGAGAAGCCAACCACGCCGTGGCTGCAAACACCGATTGCATGTGAGAGAAAGAAGTCTCAGTCACAAGCCATGTTGGGTTGCCAAGCCAAGACACGGGCTGGATAATCTCCGAGCCTAATTCGTTAGCCCAGATATAGAAACATCATCATCACAGCCTCCCTTTGTACCTCCCATCAACACCAAAAAAACAACACACCACACCAGAGGAAACACAGATATGTAGTAGCGTGAGGAGAGCAACAACAACAACAAAAACCTTGTGCAGGTAGAGACGCTATTTCCAAGAGACCCCTGGCTCAGGCTAGTTTGGGAAGAGCAGTATTGTTTAATTATATTTCCAGTTCTTGTTTCTTCTTTTTCCATGACAAGAGCTGTTGGTATTTTCTGAATAGAGGAAAATCAACAGCAAAACAGAGAGGGGCAACCACCCTTTAAAGAAAATCCCATCTGTTTTGCCTCATTTCTTTAAGCCACCCTAGAAGTAGTATTTATCATCCCAGCACGTTTAATCCAGACAATGGGGTAGTAGTATTTATCATCCCAGCACGTTTAATCCAGACAATGGGGTAGGCTCAGATTTGCCTTTGCTCAGACAACAAAAAGCTTTGGAAAAAGACCACCATGGCTGCAAACATCAGTTAATCTTATGAAACAGGAGAAAAACACACAAAACATTTGGATTTTTCTCCATTATCTCACAGACCTATCTGAGCTGCCACGCCAAGATTACAATTTTTCCCAGCTCAATAGATTTATATGTCTGGTTGATCTTCCATAGAAGAATAAAATCTTACTAGCCTCATCGCGTCGCATAAATTGAAACAGGGGGAGTAATACGTATTTTCACGGTTCACCCATCGGGTGGTTTTGCAGTCGGACATTTGAGTGATCATTGGCGGCGGAGAATTGACAGAGAGGCAGCAAAACCACCCAATGAAATTCCCTACACCTCTTTGCCTTCACCGCAACCTCAGATTAAACTAATGCGTTTTTTGCTATTTTCTTGTTAATGCAAGGGCAACCCGATGCACAAGGCATCCCGCGTTCACGCGGGATCCGGCAAAGGGTCACACTCAAGGGGTGTGATGTAAACAGCATACCCTAATTAAGCATTAGTAGCTACTTTCATAGCTCAAAACCGTGACCTATAGGTCACACGTAGGGGTGGCTAGGTCACACGTAGGGGTGGCAAACGGGTGGGTCAGGTCGTATATGGATGGGTCGAAAAATGGATAATGCAAAATACGGATAAATTATCCGACCCGACCCATATCTAATCTAATATGGATAAAAACGGGTTAATCGGCGGATAATATGGATATTCATATTATCCATGGCTTCTTGAATATGATCATTTTTGGGAGAATTCCAAGTCTCCCGAACTTGAGAAACCCACGATTTGAGGCTTTACAAATGTAAAAGTTAAGCCCATTAGTTATCCATTGGTTATCCATTTTCTAAGTGGATAATATGGTTCTTATCCATATTTGACCTATTTTTAAAAAGTTCATTATCCAACTCATTTTTTAATGGATAATATGATGGATAATTGTTTTCTTTTAACCATTTTGCCACCGCTAGTCACATGAAAATAACTTTACCATTGCTCCAAAGCTTCCCTTCCTATTTTCCTGTTAATCCAAATAATAGAAAAGATTATCTTTTTTTTTTCTTTTCAGCAAATGGGGCTCAGATGTGTTATGATAAGGCAAAGAGAAGCCAGCTACGCCATGGCTGCAAAACACCAGTTGCAAGTGAAAGACAGAAACCTCAATCACAGGCCATACCGGGTTGCCACACCAAGATACGGGTGGCTCATCTCTATGCCCAAATCGGTTAGCCCAGATACAAGAAACATCATCATCACTGCCTCTTTATGTAACTTCCATTAGCAACATAAACACACACACAAACACAAAAAGTAAATACAGATTACACTGAAAAGGATTTTACTTTTTTCAGGAATTTCAAATTCTTATGTCCAAACGCGCACTTAAATCCTGTCTGCTTCTGCTTTTGTCATAAACAAGGGCTGTTGGTTTGTTCTGAAAATGGAGGAAAATCAATGGCGGAACAGAGAGGGGCAACCACCCTTCTAATGAAAGTCCCAATACTCTCTGTTTTGACTCATTTCTTTCTAGGCTAACCTTTTTGCATTTTTTAGGGGAAATTCTCGTGGGCTTTTCACCTGCGAATTTCAAAATTTAACGGAAAAGAGCCTGTAAGTTTGAACTTAAGAAAATAACCTTCCAATTGAGGCTCACATCTGTAATAATGATAATAAGGGAAGAGATTGGAGACACCGCCATGGCTGTAAACGCCGGTTGCAAGTCATCACCGTCCGAGTTGCCCCGCCAAGTTACGGTTCCGATTATTCTCCTGCCCTAATCAAGTTGCTCAGAGACAGAAGAAAAAATCACAATCACAGCCTCAGGTTTTTGCTACAATTATAATTATTATTACTATTGATTCTCTTTCTGGGAGTGGTCGTTCGGATATAGTTTACTGCAGGAATGAAATCACAGGAATTGTAGAGAGGAGCAGCTACCCTTGAGCTTCCCTCTACTCTCTCCAACCCTCATTCTTTGTCTCTGAGCTTTTGGTTTTCTCTGCTGTGTTCAATCATGAATGGGAATATTTTGGTTTTGCATGTCCTAAGAAACACATGTTTGACATAATGAAATTATTTAGAAAATAATTTTTCTTACATAGAGTCATAGTGGAGAAAATGCTTTTGATTTTAAAGTAATTAACCATACCACAGAAACTCAAATCTTTCTCAAAATCTTCATTCTTTTGGTTTGATGGAGGCAAAAAGTAGTTGGAATTCAAAGAAGAAGAAGTTTTAGATCTATTTCACAGTACTTAAGAGGCTCAGATCTGCAAAGAGAGATCGGGCAAAAGAGAGGCAACCGCGCCATGGCTGCAAAATCACAGGTTGCATGCAAAGTAAAAACCTTCGGATCGCCGCCGTCCGGTGATTCGCCAGGCCAAGATACGGGTCGGATAGTCTCTATGCCCGCCCCAGTTAGCCCAGAATCATAAGAAAATATCATCATCATTGCCTCTACTGTTTTATGTATCAAAAAGGAGGAATTAATTAAAATCACAGAAAAGGAGACAGAAAGCAGAGATCTGGTTGTTGTTGTTGATGCTGAAGTATAGACTGTATAGTATACTACATATTTCCATGAATTCAAGGGCTGTTGATTTATTTTTTTTTTAAGTGGAAAAGGAAAATCATTGGCTAAACAGAGAGGGGCAACCACCCTTGAATAAAATCCCAATACTCTGTTTTTGCCTCATTTTTCTCTTTTCTTTTTTGGGCTAACTTTTCTTCGCTGGGGAAATCCTTTGGTTTTTCACCAAATGACTTTCCACCTTTCAATTTTTGTGTTCTCTTGCTATGAGTACTCTTACTTGGAAGAATCTTGATATCAGTGGAAATTAGTAGGGTTTGGACATGAATTCCAAAAAAAAAAAAACAAATTTAGAATTTCACTAAAATTTGAATTGAAGATGAATTATGTTTTGGTTATAATTTTTGCAATATAGTTGGATGTCTTTTTTTTACAAAATCATGAAACATGATTTATACTCCATAACTTGTAAAAAATATCAAAATCACCCCAATTTGATTATCCTACTTAAAATAACAATCAAACATGCTATTGTTTAACTATTATTATATTCTGCTTTACTACAATATACAGAAGATGCAAAATTAATATTACATTTTCTAACATAATCCGCTTCCCACTGCTATTACCAGTACTTGTATTCATATTCACAGGCCTAGTACCAACAGGGTAGTCGTCACAAGAAAAGGGTTCATTATCCGCTACAGTAGCTTCATTTGATTGTTGAGGGGAAACATATGGTAGTTGTAGGTTAATAACTGATGGGATTATTTAAAAAATTTAAAAGTATAGGGTAAATCTACAACAACAACAATAACAAACCGGTAAAATCTCACAAGTGGGGTATGGGAAGGGTAGTATGTACGCAGATCTTACCCCCGCCCCAAAGGAGTAGAGAGGCTGTTTTCGGAAGACCCTCGGCTCAAGATAATAAGAAAAACAAAAAGGAGAGAATATTAGTTTCGCCACAGAGATCATAGGAAAAATAAGAACATAAAATGCAGAAGGAAAAATGCAAAACAAAAATGATGGCTAGTAAATAGGTCCTGCACTGAAAAGAGAAAATAGTAAGACACGGCAACGCCCCTAGCTATTTCAGACAAAAACCCTACCAGACTGGGCTCATAACAGTACAAGGTAACGCAAGACTCAGCTACCTCCTAGCCTACAACCGTAATACTCGACCTCCATAACTTCCTATCAAGTGTCATGTCCTCGGAAATCTGAAGCCTCGCCATATCCTGCCTGATCACTTCTCCCCAATACTTCTTAGGCCGCCATCTACCTCTTCTCGTGCCCTCCACAACCAGTCGCTCACACCTCCTTACTGGAGCATCTGGGCTTCTCCTCTGTAATAGGTCCTCTGCAAATTCTTATTTTCAATCGAAAAATTGGTAAGAACTAATTTTTCAAATTTGAAAATGCATTTTCAAGTGAAATTGAAAAAATTGGTAAGATATTTATAATCAAACATTGTTTTCAAAAAAAAATTGAAAAAGAAAAAATTTTGTATGTTCAAACGGGCTCTTAGTATATTATTTTTTTTTTTTTACTCTGGTAACACATAAAATTTACACTTTTTATTTATTTATTTTTAAAAATCAACAACAACAATAATATCCACAATATGATTTATGAGTGGAATTTGTAAATGATTAGATGTATGCAAACCTTACCTGTACTTTGCATGAGAGATAAAAATATTTTTAATAAAATCTTGGTTGAAGAAAAATATTTAAATAAATATTTGTTTTTAAAAATCGTGGTTGCTTTTGTGTTTGGATCAACTTTTAAAGTAATTGTCGGAAGACTCGGATACAGGGAACAGCACGTGGGACGTGGTGTCTTAATTCCCATCTCCCATAATATTTTTTTTGTTACGATAAAAATCAAAATATGGTGGATGTCTACTCTTCCTCCATGATCTTTCTCTCAAATGTTCAATGACATATTCCATGACATATTTTCTTCACTTTTCATGCCTATATAAAGGCCTTGTAATAGATAGAAAAATACACAATTGAAGAAGAAAATTTCTTCCTTTCTCTCTATCTCTTTCTTGTTCATGTTTTACTAAATTGTCTTTATTTCTTGTTTATGTTTTACTAAATTGATTTTATTTCATAACACGTTATCAGCACGAGTCTCTAACCAATTGTATATATATATATCTACAAAAAATTTCCTACATCCGGNTATACATATCATCACATGGTTAAATGTAAAGAGAAACTACATATGGTAAGTAATGAAATGTAAGAAGGTATGATTATCTTATACTTGTCATTCCTTTAAAATCTCATATGCACACAACTTCGTACTACACCTGTATTGCATAAGCACATATTAATATTACATCTTTTATATCACATGAATGGAATAAAATTTTCGAAGTTCTATATGTGAAAATCATAGTAGCAGTTAATTGTTGATATGATGCATGTCATGGTAACCAAGGATATTTTATATAAATTGTCCTATGCATATTTATGTGTTAACTATCTTCAATCTGTCCTGCCGCTTTAAACATTTTCTTTTACTTGGATGAATATTTTTTTTCCTTTTGGATTTTTACACTTGCATATAGTACCAAAAAAAAGTGATAAAAATAAAATAAAATAGGTCATACTGATTAAAAGCATAAATCATCTTGAAGAAAACAAGAAA